TGGCAGGGTGGTGGTGGACACGAGGGAGGGACGCCTAGCTCAAATGGTTGCGGCGGTGGCACGCCACCATATGTTAGCGCGTTTTTCTAGTAAAAGAAGGGAACGCGTCTACCGTTTTTGGAACGAAACGATTGCGACCAGGTATTTTGGATGTCGCGAGAAAATAATAATAACGCGCAGTATATCCTCGACCCAGTGCGTGTGTGCGACGGCCCCTCTCTCTCTCTCTCTCTCGATCTTTCACTATTTTTTTTTTTTCATTTCGGTTTCCTGAGTAGAGAAAGGCGCGAATACAGGTTTTTGTTTGTACGCGCGTGTGTTCCCTTCTCCAGCCGTTCCGGGTTCACTCGCGGTCCGAGTTCCGGTCGCGGCCGTCCGACAAGCCGGATACCGCGGCGCGACTTACCTTCTGAATGATATAACACCGTGGCCCGTACGCCGTGTAAATGCACGGCGCGCCGTCGTCCGGCCTGACTTCCGCGGCGTCCGCGGTAGACCCGCCGCCGCCATCGCCGGCCGTCAACGGATCGGTCTTGTCGTAGTGTTCCTTGTGGCCTTTCGTCCGGAACGTCATGGCCGGACCGGACCGTCGCGCGGCCACTAGCAGCCGGGCATGTGCGACGAACGCGTAGCCGACACCCGAAGCGAGCGCACACACACACCGAGAGAGAGACGGAAAACGACAAGCGAAAAAAACCACGGGACGCGACGCACTGCGGTACCGAAGAAGTAAAGAAACGCGCGGTGGCCGACTCGGGCTGGGCTGTCCGTGCGGTAGTTCCCGTACTGGCGCGCGGCACGCGTACTACGCCGGACCTGTTGAGCGCGAGGCGAGCACGGCTTTGACGTTGCGGCTTACGCTGGCCGCCGCCGTGGCTACCGCTGCAGACAACCGACACGCTCCTAGTGACCGAATCCCTTCTACGCCTCGCCATCAACAGATTTATAATAAAAAAAAATATTGTTACATATTTTTTAGCTGAAATAAATAATATGTAAACAATGTATGTACGTGAATTTGTTTTTTTTTATCAGTAGCTTGCCCCCTCACCCTTTTGCCCCGAGTAGAACATTTTCTAGCCATAAAAGGGGGGGGGGTCAAATATATAAGCAATGGATTTTTGATGGGTGCAATGGGGTATGCTACAAAAATTGTGAGGTTTCAAGCTAAAGCTGGAAACTTGGAAGCATTACATAAATTCATAATAATTGTTCATGAAAAAAATGTGTGTCATAAAAATTGTTTACAAATTCTCTCGGTTGACCAAGACACAAATGAAAAAATAATAGAGTAATAATTGATGGGTGAATATTACAGCCGAAGCTCAGCTGAAAGAATAATATGTATAGGTAAGGCACAGGAAACGATCCAGACAGTGCCGAGATTAGAAATTAAAAAAAAAACAATGATTTCCGCTTACTTGTTTATTGATCATGTGTAGACGGTGCATTTGCCCTATTTCAGCTGTGAGCGATTAACTAATATTCTCATTGGCCGATAGGTATTTTAGGCAAAGTGTTTCATATTAATAATTAACTTTAAATTAATATTTTTATTTGTTGGTTAGGGACAACTATTGCGCTCAACGCGCCTTATAGCAATAATTATTCAGTTGTAAACTAATACCATAACTTTAATTGCAGGTAGTAAAAATATAATATTATAGTTGAACATTAGACAATAATATGCTTTGAATTGAAACGTGCATAACTTTCCTTAAATATTTTTTTTATATCTTAAAAATTTAATTAAAAATAGAGTATTTTTAAAGGTAAAAAAATAACATAGTAGTACGTTATTTTTGTGAAAGTATTTTTGTTTACAACATTCTGATGTTCCCAGTATTAAACAATTATTTTTTATTTAATAGTTATTACCTAATATACAGAAGCGTTTATTTGAAAGTGGCCCATCAAAGTTTTTCAAAGTGGGTTTACAGTTATTATAATAGTATTTCCTGAACACACCTCTCCGTCCCCATTCTGTGCTGTTTTTTTTTTAGTTTAAATTATAATTTTGAATAATAATTTCGCTTATCAAATGGTGGAAGTAAGTCACTTTGGGAAACCAGGTAGAAAATCATGATGTATAAATACATTACTATTTTCTAAATATAAAAAAGGTCCAGTTTTGTATACTCACTTGTGTCGTGTGTGTGTTTCTAGTACCGTTTTCCAAATCGATTATCGCGTAGGAGGTTTGTGTATTGTCAGAGTTTCTGAATGAAAAGCTGTGCGCGACCCGTTCATCTCAGCCCGGCTATACACCCACGGCTTTTTCACCCTCGCGTAGTATCCCGCCTCTTCCCCCTAGTCGCACTCCAACCACCTGGTAACATCTATACCTACTTAGGGTGGTAGGTCTCGACATTAATAAATCCGACAGTTATATACCCTTTACGTTTAATCATCGTCTGCGCAAGTAAAGCATATTTTGTCATATTATTTTAACAATAAGCGCTTACCTAGGCCACATTAACCGATGTACATTTTAGGCACACTGCCTATAGAGCCTATATTATGTTAGTTATATATAGTCACGAGTAAAATCAAACCTAGTAAACGAGTAAATCAATCGAGTAATCGAGTAACACATAGAGTGATCGAATAAAAACACGACCATATGAAATCTAAATAGAGTAAATGAGTAAACAAATAGAGAAAATGAGTTAGCACATTGAGTATTCGAGTAAAGAAACCGAGTAAATAACACGCCTTGTTGAAATCGTATAGCAAACGAGTAAATATTTCGAGTAAAATAGTAAACAAATCGGGTAAACGAGTAAAAAAATCGAGTAATCAATTCAATTATATTATTTACAGTTATAATATTTATGTTTTTTTTTGGAAATAATTGTAGTTTTTGGCTATCTACATTTATTTTTGTGATCGTTGAGTTACTATCTGCACATTTTTCTGATAAAAACATTTTTCTTTCGCCAAAATTTTGAGTGATCGATAGGGATAATATAAGTAATGAACTAAATTAAAAAAAATCGTTTCAATATTATTTTAAAATATTTATTATAACTAAAACAATAATAATTGTCCTTCTTATTGAAATAATTCAACATTTTTTTTTTAGCCGAGAAAAGAAAGTAAAAAATGTTTACACTTTATACCTATAAATTGATAAAAAAAACAATAAAATATAATTTAAAAAAAAAAAACAATTTCGCTATAATTTATATAATATAGTTGATAATATTGTTAAACAACACATACTACATTTTAAGGCGTTCGGTATAGGCAATTTTTCGCATAACAATTTTAACATGAATATTATGTTTTGTATCTGGAGTCAAGTTCAAATTTTCAGTATCACTTTTCAGTAAAATCGAAATCTGTCCTATTAAAGTATTGTTTTTTTGATTTATTTACATATATTATGTATTATGTAATTCCTTCAGGCGTTTCTGGTATGATAATAGGACATTTTTACAATACCAATGTGTATATTATAAATATCGCCTTGCTTAATAATTTTAATGTTGGGATAGAACGACAAAACTGGTATCGATACAGACACATAAGTTAGGTCGTTTAACAGATCCATTATTGGACGGTTAATTTGTTGTTAAACGTGAGATTAGGTAGTTAAATATGATTAGATACAAAATAATGCAATTTTAGAAATTAATAAATTAACTATAGACTATCTTATTGAAAATCCAAATTTAGCATAATAAATTACAGCAAAGTAACATACTATTTGACAGAGAATTATGACTGTAATTTTGCCTTTGAGTACTTACTTTACTTTGTTTACTTCAATAAAACTATTACTATTTTATGCTATTTTCTCAATTTCTAACAAGGAAAAACTTTAGAATCAAGCGACAAGTTCAGTTGAGATTAAGATTGGCCACGAGTGCCATAAAACATATGATTCTTCCTTGAAGAGGAGAAAATTGTACTTAAACTAACAAGGCGAGGGGGAAACTATTCCCGAAGTTCCCTTTGGGGATTGTAAGTCATAAAAGTTTTGGGTAGCACTTGGAATTATAATTAAATGTAAAAGTAATTTGGCCGGTGCGACATTTTCCTTAATAAAAGACAAATTCAATAAAAGTCCCAAGTCGCGCAGAACTAGTTTTCTTTACAGTAATCTGTTTCACCAAAAAGAAAATTAATTTAAAAATAATGCTATTTCCTTCTTCGTCGTGACGCTTTCACGAGAAAAAGCTAAATCTTTATAGTACAGTGTCCTCAACAAATATTTATACCAGTTTCATGTCCTATATGGCATACATATGAATTGTATACTTATATACTTTTAATGAACAAGTACTCACATTTTTAAAAAAATTAATTTGTTTTTGTACTCACCGGTACAGTAAAATCTACTAGTCACCTTAACATAACTGCAAGCAGATTACTTCCTTAGTTTTTTTACACACGTCAAGACTTAAAACACATAACGCCGGCTTAATTTACATTCGTAACTAAAAAATAAATAATCACAATGTTTAAAACTAGCTCAACTCTTATAACACACTTAAAAGAAAAGTTACGACAATTGTAAATCAAGCAGACATCAAGTACAACTAATTAGTTGTTGGACAATGCTCGTTTGACGTAACTATAGATTTATTTACTCAGATCTATACATTTTTTCTACTAGTAAGTCTACTAATAATATTGCGTGTTAGTTCGAAATAAGTTTGTTTTTATAATTATTACGATTGTTTAACAGTGTTATTTTACAAACATTTAATTTAGGCAAAAAAAAAAAGTACAGAAAAGAATACAATATTATAATATTTATTATTTATCGGAGTAATTTCAATTTAGAAACTGATTTTCCTTTTTTACATTATACATGTATTATTATCGTCGAAAGGTACTTTTGGTAATTTCCTTGTTGTCAACTAAAATATGGTTAAAATTGAATTACTTCAATTCCTCGTCGAATTTGCAGAGTATAAATTAAATATTTACATTTAAACTATTTACGGCAAAATAAGATCTCGGTTTTAAAATAAATGAACACAAAAAAGAATTACGTATGTATATATGTATAAATAAAAGATAAATTACCATACATACATATATATATATTTTTTTTTAACTTTTCACACCAAAAATCATTACATTATGAGGACAAAATATAATACAGATTTTAATTAATGGGTGGGTTTATTTTTTACATGTAATTTTTGATGAAATAACAATGCATTGTTTCTCTAAATACGTCGGTAGCATTGATGTACATTTTTTTTTTTTTTAATTTACACAGTTAAATTATACAAATTTGAGAATCACTAGAGATTGGCATTGTATGTTTTTATAATTTATTAAAGCATATTTATCGAATTGAAATTTGAAAGTATAATTTTTTTCTTCTTCTTAATAATTTGTCTGGCTATGTTACGATGTAATAATAATGAATGGCGCTGCTCCGCTTTGTAGCATGTTTCGAGATTTAAAAACCATGGACCTTCAGTTGATCGGACTTTGCTAGGCCACACTTTGTCAACCACTGACAAATGTTCTCTCGTTGATCGCCTTGCAATTGCAACACTTCTCCGTATTCCGGGTGTTCAACAACTGTTCCGTTGCAAGCAAACTCCTAAAATCCAAATTATATTAGAATCGTCGTATTGAGTAATAAAAAAAAAATAACAGTATTTTAAACATCAAAATGTAAAAAATATTTTTCCATTTCGTTTTCAATTAAACAAAATTCACGTTTTTTTTATCTCCCTTTCTCCTCATTTTTTTTCCAATCCAAACCGGAATAACCAGTAGAGTCTAATTTTAATAAAAAATATTATTTCAGATTAATTATTTTTGTTTTAATTTCTTAAAAAAACTATTAGGTTTTCTTTTTAAAAGCATAAACTGGATTTAACATGTTACTCCATCCGGCCAATGTTAATTTAAAAATAAAAGTAGACAACCTCACTGTAGATTTAAATTATTTTGAGAATATAATCGACTATAAATTTTCAAATTAATTAAAACAAAATTATTTGTAAAAGTTTTTTACCTTTTTACAGGCGCGTACTATCTTCTTTAAGTCATACTCCGAAGACAGACCTTGGACTGTTGTCAATGTCTTACGACCATTACGCTGTTGAATTCTTATGTGTACAAGCCCGTCTTGAACGTCATCGTCTGCACCCTTGATTGCATCTGCAAACGGGTCTAGAAAAAGGAAAATACACAACATTTTTAAAAATATTACTAAGACCATTGATTCATTACAGTCAACATTAATTTCTGTGTAATGGCAACACATGCAAGTGTACTAAAAATGTATATTTTATACGATTTCATATAAAATATACAGCGTGTGCCATTTATTTATACCACGGAGAATAAAGTATGTACATTGTTCTACTCAGAAAACAAATTGTATTTTGGAATCATAGATTTCATACCGATATCCGCATACAGTTTTAACATCATAGTAGAGAGCGTAACATAACATAAAATTGTTATGTATCGACTTTCGTTTGTTAAAAAAATTCAAAATCAGAATTAATACATATATATCACTATTAATACATATATAATTAATATATCTTGTAGATAAAACAAATTTTGGGCTGGTAAACATTATTATCGGCTCCTGATATATGTTATACACAGCATGCCATTTATTTAATATCGGGAAGATTAAAATGTGTATATTACTCAGAAAATAGAATGTATTTTGGAATCATGGATTTTTCATACCGATATCCGCATACAGTTTTGACATCATAGTAAAGAGCACGGCAAATCCACAGGAAGCAATTTGATTAGTCAATAAAATAACGATTTAAATATTATAACAATTAAATAAATTGAGGAAATTGGATACCAGATGAGGTCGGCAACGTTTGGGTAACAGAAATTTAAGATGGCATAAACTTAAATGATTAAGTGAACGTTTGTAAACATTCTTAACGTTTAGAGTTACTACCTACGTCCTATATAATAATTGTATTGACTCTGAATCAACCAACATTTTTGTTGTTCAATACTTCCCACTTATGAATTGCTTTTGAGCTTCTTAGCGATAAAATAAAAAAGGCTCAACATTATTTTCTTTTCCTCAAAACAATGAATAATGTAGACAAATGTACAAAAACCATTGAACAAAGTTAGAAAATTAATGTTATTATCATTCAATATCAGATTCGGAGGATAAACATTTAAAAAAAAAATTGATTAATCAATATGGATTCATGGACATGTTTCAAGTAAGTAATTGAATAATAACTAGAAAAATGCCATTCAAGTATCGCGGGGATGGGTCGTTTGACCGGAAGCACATGGCCTTGTTGGTGAACTACAACGTTGTGCAATCGCCGTCAACACCCTGTTGTTTGCGGGCTGCGGCCGAGCACGGCATTCGAAATGGCCGCACAGACGGGACGAACGCAGATCGAACCCGGCGCGGCGGTGGATTCATTTCGAAACACCGTACATTTTGCGTAGTATCGGACCCGTATGACTCATCGTCGTCGAGACAAAAGGATGCCGCCGCCGTCGGACGGAACTCAACGCAATTGGCGCGGATAAACGAACGGAACACAATAATAATGGAAATCTATATTCCGTCGACGGTTCAAATACAACAATAGTAATACTCACCGAATACGTTGAGGTTCTGGATTGACATGCGTATGTTCGTATCTACTATGAGTGTCGACTGTTTCCCGTTGCTGTTACTCGACACGGCTTGAAAATTACTTGTTGTCGTGTGTATCGTTACTGTGTCGTTGACGGGCACGGCGTGTGGCGGCGACTGTCGACGTCGGAGTGGTCGCGTTGAAAAAAAATACGGCTTTTTAAATAGCAAAAAAAGAGATTAAAAACAAAACGTCATGCGTTTCGATAGAGCACTCGTTTGGAAATGACCACGAACGACCCGCCGTAAACCGTAGGCAATGGAATGGAGAGCGCACACAGAAAACGTGAGAATAGAATAAAATATGCTAAAAAAAAAAAATTGAAAAAATAGGAGTAGGGCCGTTCGAAGACGAATCAAATCCGTGTCTCGGCCCAACACACCACGGCAGTCATAAACACACACACGGTCGTGGTCGATGGTATAGTACCTACAGTGCGGCGGGAGTGGGGTCGGGCGACCGCGTTTCGAAAAACACATGGCCGCCGTTGGTTTGGCAACGTCGCATTCGCCAACCGATGACAGTGGCAACGTAGCACCGCGCAATAGCCCGGCAACATCGTCATCGGTTTGAAAGCAAAAACAAACATATTATTATTATTGTAATCTTACTCTATGAGACCATTGAGAGTTACTCAGAAATCACAGCTGTACAACGTCACGACACAACTGTGATAAATTATTCTGTATTTTTCATCGTTTTACTAAAAAAAAAAAATGTTTGTAAATTACAATGTCAGGCCGCCAACTTAATTTCATTGTTATCACTTGAAACCACTGAATCGCAGTCGAGGAAATGCGTCAATTGCACTATTTTCCTGTTCAAAACAAAAACAAAAAAATACTAGGTAATGTTATTGGAAATACTGAAGACGCAGATTTCTTTAATGCACGGATAATACAATACAAATATAACTATAAAGTGTTCGGTATATACATAGATAGGTGTAATGTAAGACGGTTACTAAAGTTAAAGTAAAGAACAGCTATACAAATTAGACAAAGTACAAAATACACTACCAAAGATCTTTTTTAACAAGCATTTTTGGACAAGCTTTGTACTTTTTAAACGAATTTGGGTTGAAATTTGAAATGTGACGAGTACTTTTATGGGTCAGCCGGCTGATAGTGCCCCGTGGATATAGTTGTATAGGCAACACAATAAACACCTTCACCACCATCTTAATTTAGCTCAAGCATAGCTGATACCATTGATTATGTAATATGTCTATTACATAATCAATGCTGATACTATTCTCCTTTATTTTTCAAATCAATTTACAATAAGTCATACTGTTTTGCCTAGCACAGTTAAAATATACTACCAAATACAAGTAAAAGGGATTTTATTTTAATTATTTAAGAAGTAAAATTTTTTTTTTTTGCACTGAATTAGAATTATGTTACATTGACTTGAATAATTAAACAATACAAGAAAAAAGCCAAACCAAATTATTACAATTATTTGAGTACTAGCAACTGTTATTTATTTTTTTTTTTGTAGGTTTATTAATTATAATTATTACTCGTTCAGTTTTTTACACAGGACTTTGCCCTTCCCATCTAAATGTATGTAAATACTTTTATGTTATCTATTGACGTTTAATTTCTAATATAATAAATATACATCATAATAATGCAAACTATACAATTTCTTGATAATTTATACCTATTTTGAGCGATGAACAATAATTATATTGAACGTACAACGCTATCACTGGGAGGGATTTGGCTGGAAAGCTCCGTTTAATGCCATTTTAAGCTTGGCGCAGAGATGGCGTTAGATGTGCTACGAACAACTGCAATTTAAAAAAAATATATATAAAAACCACTATTTCTTTTAACTAAGAAATACATGTTGTCTTGTAGGTATTCAATATTTTCATAATATACTTAACTCGAGTCATAATGAAACATAATTTGCAAAATAACACTATACATAAATGTATATGTTATTCATTTGATGACTTCACTTTATGTGCAATTAAACACATTTGAGAATAATTTCTCCACCGCCATACATTTACCAGATGTTCTACTCGCTTATAAGTATTGCATAAATTTGGAAAATTTTCATTCAATCATATTAGTGTTGTGGGTTATTAAAGTTGGTAGTTTTCAGCTTACCGCACTTATGTTTTAAACCGCAAATTAATAGAAAAAAAATAATTAATTGGTTCAAAGATGATATGGGTCATAAGAACATGACTTAAATTTTATACAAACAAAATATTTGTTTTTAATTTTTATCTTTTTGACTGGGAATTGCGGCCACTTAAGCGGGAATTGAAATATCTTTGGAACTAAAAGTCCAGAAATTCCGTTCTTTCTTAAAATCGAACTACAAACTTGTTAGGTGTTATGTATAATATAAGTTTCAGAGTTTTTAAATCAAGTTAAATATTTTTTTTTAAAAAAATGCAAATGATTGCCATCACCCCTATAGAGCGGGGTAATACCAGTCACCAAAAAATGCATGTAAAATGATAGGGAAAAATTGAAGTTCCTAAAAAGCATATAAATTATGATCAAAACATCATGTTATCAGTATAGACCTATTGTACAATGATATTGTTCAAAGTCATTGTATGTGTTTATTGGAAATATTAGTTAGGTAAGGTTATTACATAAGTTATGTTAGACCGTTATTACATCATCAGTTTTGACTGGTATTACCCCTATCAGACTTTTTTTTAAATACATGTTTGAAAACTGTAATATTTAGGTATATTATGAGCAAATAAACGCAATCTCTTGTCAATTTGTGGTAAATGAGAAATAGTCGATATAGTAAAAAATTAGAAACTCTTAAATAGAGATGGGATTTTTTTTGAAAAAATATTACAACAAAAGTGATAAAATAATTGATAATTATTTTTTGGTGGGAAAAAAGTTGCTTAGCATTTTGAAACATCTGGTATTGGGTTTTGGCACAGATATACATTTGTATAATAAACTAGATTGCTAACTGTATATACCACCAATAGAGAAGATTGAAGCAGCCACTTTCCGCCATCCTGATGGGAATTAGAACCTTATCACGCGAAAATAATATATGTTTATAACAATCACTTATATGTAATAATATATACAGATATAATATATTATATGCATTGATAACACACATAAATCCCACCAGAACGGCGGACCGCCGGCTTCAATTCTTATCGCTAGTTAGCAATCTAGTTTATTGTATACAGAGTTGTGCAAATTCTTATTCGAATAATTATTCGAATAAAAATTTATTCGAATAAAACGTTATTCGAATAATTTTTTTTCAAAATTATTCGAATAAAAGGTTATTCGAATAATTTTTTCACAATTTATTCGAATAATTTTTTATTCGAATAATTTTGAAAACAACATTTTCGAATAACTTTTTATTCGAATAATATTTTTACAATTTATTCGAATAAAAAATTATTCGAATAAATAATAATAAATAATGATACTTTTCTTACGTACTTTAAATGTAAAAATGGTATAATTGATATATTCATTCTATGTATATAATGCGTAATAAAAAATGTAGGTATAAACATCATATGTAAAGTTTTAAAAAAAAAAAAGTATTTATTTTCCTCTATTCTTACTATAAGATTTACATATTATTCAGCTATATACTTAATATAAAGCATATATAGTACCAAAAATAAAACAAAATATCCGAGCCTATATGTAAGAAAACATTATTGACTTAAAGCAGAATTTGATCATTTTAAATGTGTTATCTGTAAATGATAAATTTCAATAATTTATTTCATTCTGTAAATCATATCTATAAGTTGTAATTTTTTCATTTTTTTATTACGAGTTAGTAAAAAGTCAATGCCTTGTTATTATATAATTTAACTACTATTATTATTATATTAAGACATTTTTTATAATTTTTTCTTTTTGTTATTATTTCTACAACCAAATTGTGTAATAAGATTGGTGTTATTTTTATTATTAGACAGTTGTAATTTTGTTTATTTATTAGTTTTCACTAGTTTTCGCAAAACTTACTTAATTACTATTTTTTCAATGTTCTTTTGTTCTATGTCTGTATTTAAAGTAATATTGACTAAAGCTCTAACTTATTATACAATACCTATCTATATTTTATATAAACTATTTCTTAAATTGTCCTTGGTTAATTATACCACATTAATGTAATAATATCGTCGTTTATATAAAAAAATGTCTACTGAGTATTCTATTTTTTTTTTCGTATTTGATAAGTAATTCCAATGTGCCTAACACAAAACTCAATTTGTGAAATCTGTAAATAAAATTAAAATACGTATAAAACACTTCACACTAAGTTTTCCAACCTTTGAAATAGACATAGGTTAATTTTATTTTTTGTAGTTAATTTGTTTTTATTGAATTTAGACGGTGATAAGAAAATTTTAAATTAAATTTAAGATTTATCCTAGTGTTTATAAATAGTGCATAACATGTAATATATAATATATATTAAAAAATTATTATTAAAAAACATCACTTACAAATTATTCGAATAATGGTGTACAGTTATTCGAATAATTTCATATATGATTACTCGAATAATGTTAGTCGAATAAAACGTTATTCGAATAATTTTAAATATAATTATTCGAATAATTTTTTTTTCGAATAAAAATTTGTTATCTAGATAAAGACATTATTCGAGTAAAATTTATTCGAATAAAAAGTTATTCGAAAATTTTTTTTCAAAATTATTCGAATAATTTTTATTGGAATAATTTAAAAATAATTATTCGAATAATTTTTTATTCGAATAATTTCAAACATATTTTATTTAAATAATTTTTTATTCGAATAAAAGTGTATTCAAATAACTATTTTTGAAATTATTCGAATAAAAGTTTATTCGAATAATTATTTTTGAAATTATTCGAATAAAAGTTTATTCGAATAACTCGAATAATGTGTTTATCTAGATAATTATTTAGATAACGTTTTATTCGAATGATGCACAACTCTGATTGTATATATCTGTGGGTTTTAGCTATCATAGTTTAAGAGATATGCCATTGGACGGTATTACCCACTGACTGCTGTAATATTCCCCCATTCCCCCCCCATAGTGCATGTACTTTTATGTAGTATAACTATTTTATTGTCCACAAGCCACGGTTAGATGTTTGTTCTCACAGAACACTTCCTCAGAAAAACCATACCGAGAAAGCGAGACAGTTTTGAAGCAACGACAACGACAATAACGTTAGTGGTGCCGAAAATATTATTATCATACTTGACACATATCCGGCGACCACCGCAGCCGTCGTCGTCGTCGGTGCTCGTGTCATAATCGATATAGTGTTATTTTACAGGTTTGTATATGATGTTTACGGATACAAAGGGGGGGGGGGGTGAGGGGGCGAATAAGGGGCAAGCACGGGGGGGTAGGGGAGGGTACGGTAAAGCTCGACGGCGGCGGCGGCGTAGTGATGCTTCTGGCCGCGGGTAGGTGTGGTCGCCGGCCGCCGTTGTCTCCATCTTGTGTGCCGGCGGCAAGGTCCCGGAAACGTCGGTTGGTTGCGCAGGTGGTCGATACCGACTTCCGGTTGGCCCCACCACCATTTCCATGACAAAAGCTCCCCCTCGACCCCCCACGCGCGTTCACCCCCACGCACCGACTGCGTACGCGTCCCCTCGTACACACGGCGGTTTACCTGGCAAGGCAGCAGGACCTTAAGTACAATATAATATAACAGCTACACAATAGCTGTGTACGTTGTTGTATTCATAATAATATTATCAGTATATTATCAGTCACGCCGATTCAATAAACAAACGGCGGATGGACACTATGCAAAGTCCTTACAACACTTCCAACGTGTTATTCACGACTCCCAAACACTGGTTTTTTTTTTTAATAAAAACTAAAAAATCGCTATCTCTTGTACAGAAAAACTGTTAAAAGGGTTAATAATACATATAACTTTTGGAATGTCAACTAGTAATTACAAAAACAATTCAATATATTTTCCTCAATCATGAATATGTCTTACAGACTAAAACTGATTATGCTAACTAAACTAATTATGGTTTTATATTATATAAAGTGTCGTTCATTTAGGAAAATATTATAAAAATTAATTTAAATAAAATGTATTTTTAGTGCGCTATTTGGCTACAATTTTAACTACTATATAGTCTAGATCTTACCTTAAACTCGATTGACGTAGGCTGAAAATTGGATTGACTTATGGGATAAAGATAGCCTTTATTAAATTAAGAATAAATTATATTTGTATAAAGAAAACACGGTCACTAAAATCCGTTTTGTAGAGTATTGAAGTGTAGTTTTATTCCATAGGTTGACCGATTTGTGTCTGGTCAAAGTAGATAGTTAATCTTAGTTTAAAAAGTTAAAATATTATAAATAGTATGTTAAAAATCCAAGTTCAACGCGTTCATATGGGATGGTATTTTTGGAAGATTATCAATTTACAAGTTTAAATTATTGACTGGGTCATAGTTAACCTTGTAAAAGTTGCCAACCGAATCGATAGCGTTCATAACAGTCATGAGAGACTTTCTTTGGAGTTTAGTAGTATAATAATTGTACCAAATGTCTCCAAGAGAAGTACACGCGAGGGTCGATTTTCGTACAGCCCTTGTGTTCAGAATATAATGGCAACTTTGGCGGTATAATTTTTTTTTTTATAACCTTCGAGGGTAAAATATCAAGTAGTCGCGTGGCTCATGCATATTCATTGTTCCTCGACACTATATATAACATTTTAATGTTCGTACTCGACAAAGTGCTGAGAAACAATACAATATAATGTCCTCTGTGTATGTGTCTGAGCCTTTCCTACAAAATCTTACCTCTTAGCAAACCGTATAATGTTATTATATCCGCGTAGACAGATGTATAGTGGTAAATGATAGCTGTAATAATGTATATAATAAGTAGTAATTGTATAGATTTTTATAGTATTCATATATTACACATATAATTATAGTTGTGGTGCCTTGTCTATGGTCAGGCCTGTACAAGGATTACAAACATTTGTATATTCTATATATCATACAAATTATAATTAATCTACACACGCTATAATATTATGCTTGGTTATACATTTTAATACAACAATAGTAATAATAATAAACAAAAATGTGATACATATTGCACTTTTACTTAAGCATAATAAATCAGCTAGGTTTTATGTATATATATATATATATATATATATATTATATAGTACCTATTTTAATGATAAATATAATAATTATTAATAAGTAATATTTTACATTACGTTATAAAGGTCGACAATAATAATATATTATTATTATTATTATTATTCTAGCTACGTTAGATTGTCACAAGTATCTAACGAAAATAATTATTATACAAACAGTGTTCAGTGTTGTAGATATTTGTATAATATTGTTTTTTTTTAACAACAAAATAAGTGTAAACGCAAAGTTCACACTAAGGATCGAGATCGGATTTATAACATATTTTAATCACAAAATGACTAGCATAGTATTTAGAACAAGGGCGAGTGTATTATGTGAATATATATTATTTCAAGTATCCTCGTTCTATGTAGAGTACCTAATAATGAGCGGATAAAAGCCCCACAATAATGTGTTATAATATTAGTTATTGGTAAATGACTTTGTACTGGACATTGTAACGTTGAAGTCTTACATTATATGTTTAAGAAAAAAAAAACAAAATATATGTATACTTTTCGACGTAGAACGTATTTTATAATTGTTTGTTATACTTAAAAAATAAACAATGGTAGGTATGTACTCGTATGACTTATTTACAAAAATATCTAATAATACATTAACGTGAAAACTAAGTAGCTAAATTTTCGTTTAGGATTTCGACTAGAATTGATTGTCTTACGGTCTTCAACGTCCATCAGTGGGCACATTTTTTACAATAATATGACTTTATGGGTAAAAATGTGACAAAATCTACGACTACCACTAATGTCCGTATGCCCTAAGCGTAGACCGGACTAGGTATTATTATTGGAATTCCTTTTGACAAAGTAATAATTATAATGCACAGACTATGATTATTATTAATAATAATGGATATTTTATTGTTGGCGTTGGCACCCTCCTCATTCCATGTGTTTGTACGAGGGTCGGACGGTGCCGGCGGACAGCGACCGAGCTGCCCAGTGGACGTCCGTCTGTCATGGTGACGCATAGTGCGAGTAGCTGCCCAGGTGCGGTGCCACGCCGCCGTGGTGGTTGACCGCCGGGCTCGCTGCCGGATGATGGTGGCCCATCGAGTGTGTAGCCGAGGCGGCCGCTATGTTCGAGTACAAGTTGGCGCCGGGATTGCTCCAGTATGACGACGCCGATGGGAATATACTACCTGTAAAACACCGACCAAGAAAACCACCACTGTTAAAAAACATATATTATTTGCTCATTGACATGCTTATATGGCTGGGAGTCATTCTGAAAATTTGTCCGTCGTCTCGAGCGACATGTTAAGCGTCATTATGCATTATGGAGGAGTATTAAGGAATTATGGAGGGGTATGGAGGAGGATTAATAGAGATAAAAGATTGCAGGACAAATCCACGTATTGATGACAGGAGGCAATATTTGACAAACATTTATCTAGTAACCATTTCAAGTATGCCGACTACATTTTAATGTGAAAACATGTTAAGTTTTTCTAGTTATAAAAACGTTTTTATTTTTCTTCGAGTAAAGACGAAAGTTTGATAAAAAAAATGACTTTCGTCAAAGTCATTTAGACAGTTAGTAAGATTTATTAGAGAAAACCATAAAATAGTAAAAAACATATGAACGTTTATAATACAATTTTAAAAACAGAAATAAAAAATAGGCCTTTACGCCCCTATAGAGACGATGTTAAACTTTATCAACAACAATTTTACCATCCTAATCTCCTTATTAGCTCACTACACACCCTATCTCTCCTTAACAACGCTCCTTGCCGTTTGAAATGTCAATTAGCTCTATCGAAAAATCGATTGCAACTCATAATCCTATTTTTATCCTGTCCTAACCCCACCTGACCCTTCTGCCATAACACCATAATCAAATGATGCTAAAAAAACTCACCACAATGTCTTATTCATAAGTACATAATTTATAACGATGGGTCTAGCAGTCGATGAGCTCCGTTAGACCATTAAGACCTTTATTGATTATCTTTGTACTTCTATGTTCTATTGATTTAAGCGACCCCAGACGAGAGTTCGGTTACTGTGATGAAACCTATGTATATAACGGGTCTCACGAAGGAGTCGCTACCTAACATAATAATATTCTGCTAACTGTAATTCTTTTTTGGAATGAAGGTAAATGCATTGGCCAAAAGCAGATATTAGTGCCGAAATGAAATGTACCGAAACTTCGTTATTGGAGATGATGTATTTTTCCCGTTGTGAGCCATAGGCGGTTTTTGTCGAGGGGTGTACAGCAGTATTGGTTTGGCAATATTTTACGGGTTATTGCTATGAACAAAACCCCTGCGCACGGTGTTCGACCGAAACGAACATATTGACAAATGATATTACATACTAATGGGTTTCTCTTTTGCGATTGATTTTGGTCTATCTCATTTTGTAACAATTACGGACGTTTTATTTGTTTATGAGAGAGAGAGAGAGAGAGAGAGAGAGTGAGAGAGACATATAATTGTCCCTACATATTTTGCTTTTAATTCAATTGCACAGCACCCGTTACCATATAGTAGCAGGGACACATAATCATATAGTACATAGAGCATATATACAGAGAGCTTCGCCGATTGGAACGTGACGTGGAATTTAAATAATATTTCTCTCTTCCGTACTTATCTCGGTAATCGTAACACACTGCACAGTGTGTTATTTAGATTCCGGTCTACATATGGAGGTGTACATAATAATATATGTGGATTATAACAAGGGAAAAAAAGTTAAAATGCAATTCAAACGATTTCCAACGACTTTTGATCCGAGTGTCGTTCGAACTTAAAGTTTACACTATGCGATTCACGTACCGTTTTGTTAAGATCATACCACTATAACTCATCCAAGCCGTGTAAGTATGGTGTATACATTTTATCTCGTTTGCTAAAGGTCTCTTCGACACCGAGTTTAATAAATGCGCTTTATGCACGTGCACCGATCCGGGGTTCTATCGGTTCAACGCCAAGCAATTTCCGGTGCCGCCGATATAGCAGCTCTCCCGTGTTAATATATTTTTGTCGTTCCTTTACACCGTACCGTGTTTGTTGTATGGAAATGCTTTTGCTGTTTGCCAATAACATTTTTCGCCACAGCTAAAAACAATAGCCAACTGTCTCGGGGGGGACAGAACTCATATTTGACATCAGGGAGATCACATCAAGAATATCGAGTTTGCTTTCGTCAAAATGTGATTTCTCCATATTTTTTTTTGAGGTTGCTTTAATAAGAAAAAAGATCAGCCTAATTTACAAACCTTTTGCTAATAACTAACGTTGTTCTAATTGTTTTATCCGGTACCGTTTTTGTGAGTTCTCGCTCTCTCTCTTTTTATTTTCGACTATTGAATATTATAATAACATGTTGCGATAATTTTAAAAATTACTTAACGGACGCGTAGGAATCGGTCGAGCGAAAAATCACTGGATACAATGTGCTCCTTGGTAAAGAAGGGTGTCCCCGTCGCCTTTGCTAGTCATTAATGGCGACGACGACAGTCATTAAGAGCCCATTGTGGACAGCTAATGAGACAGACGATTCGTTTCGGAGTATAAATATCTCTGCTGAATCTCCGGTCCTTAATGTGTCGTGGGGTCTCTGTTGCAGGGGCCGAGGGGAATGTGAATTTCATAACTATTCTCGTAGTGCTTGTATAAATCAAGTCGACAGCAATATAATAATAATGTATAGCTCGGCGGTGGTAAAGTTTTAATGTCATCATAATATTCATTGGACTTGCACAAAGTGTAATGTTTATCGTCGTTTCCAAATTCTCTATATATTAATGTAATATAACATGATCGTGTGTGGTTAACGCATAGGGTAATAATATATATATATACTGCCGAGCGACAGTGTGACCACGTTAAAATAAATACTTTTTTATAGGTTGTTGAACACTGCACAGAATAATCCTTATCAACTTTACGGATCAATAGAAAATCGATTTCGTGTATAACGTTATAGCTGATAAATGTAATTTTGTCATTGTGGTCACACTGTAGCTCGCCTTTTTGCTTACTTCATAATAGCGTCCCCTGGGTTAATGTTTTAAATCGATGGTAGAACTTCTAGGCGTCTGGTAAGTTTGCATTTACATTATGTGTATATAGTTTATTCAAAGGTCGGATATTGACACGTTAGCCAATTTACTCGTTTGATTAAAACATTTGAATTTGCATAACGTTAAATCATTGAACTCCGTAGATGCTACTATCGTGCTATATACAGGGTGTTGATCCATTTAACGTCACATTTAATTAACTTTTTTAATTAAGTATAACTTACTGAAAATTGTGACTGGTCAGATGAGGCGGAGTGCGGTTGAGTATTCTAAATTTTTATCTCTAATAACTTTGAAAATAATTATCCAAAACTGGTTATTAAACCTAACCGTTTAAGTGTCAATAGTTGATAGACCTTTGAATGTAACCCAAGAAAAATACAATTTTGAATATTGTCAAAATGTAAAATAACATTAAACAAAAAGAAAAACTACAAATTTTTTAGGAAAATATCTAGGGAAATTTGTTCCCTAGAAAATGAGTGTCTTAAGTTAAACGGATCGTCGTATTAGAAAAATATTTGCCAGCAGGACTTTCCTTGGGTCTTAAAAAGTCACCTCAAGAATATATTCTGTTGGAATACTTAATGCAGCGAAAGGTATCCGAATGTAAAGGTGTCGAGACCAAAGCACACACGATTATCCTTTGCACGCACTTTGCCGGTGAATATCAAATAGATGCAACGTTTTGCTTCACTTCGGTTCCCTCGACTTAAGTATAAGTAGGTCCATGCACACAAGAGGTGAACTAACAATACACACACGGGGTTCGATTTACACAACACCCTGTTCAATGTAAGTCCTCTGCCGTGTTGTCGCGGGTGCCCGCCGGCAAAAGCCGTGCGGTTGACATGACTTGTTTGTGCGTTATACTTCTCTCTCTCTTATTTTTCCTTCTTTTTTATCTTACTTGCCCGTTTTCGTTTCCCCCAGCCAGACGTTCACGCTTTAAAAGCACAATCGTTTACATACGAACGGTTCGGTTATGTTTGTTTGTTTGATCACCCTCCCCCTCCCCTTTCGCATGACCGGACACGACGCCTTCGCTTACTCGAGTTTTCTCATAGCCTTCATTTTCCCTTTTCCGATCTCCCTTTTTTTCGTCTTAGAATGGCCATTGTCTCACTGTCGGTTTAACATACACAATTTATACCGGTTAGGTTAGGTTCTTGTCTTGTGACACTTTGGTCGCTTAGCAGACCAAACACAATTACAGGATACTAATTAGAATCAAATATTTAATATAATATAGTGGGTATGATGTTAACTGTAGTTCACTGACCTGCGGTAGACGTGATACCGGGTGCGTGAGGTGACATGAAGTTTAACTTGGGCGAATGATGATGGTGATGATGATAAGTCGTCATGAACAAGTCCGATTGGTATTTGTACGCACTCGGATCTGCCGTCGCCGGTTGTGTGGCTGCTGCAAGTCCTTGGAAGTCAAATTTGTAAGCGTATCTCTTTCCGTGTACTTTGGTCATGATGTTCTTGTCGTAGTAATACCTGCGAAAACATAAGCTGTTTTTTATACTCGATACGTGAAAACCCAGAAAATAACACACATAATCTGACCGGATTAAATTCAAGTTTAAACGCAATAATTTTTTTTTAAGTTAACGTTAAAATAATAACAAATATATTGTTTTGAGTAAATCATTAATTAAGATCTTACCGAACGACGGTGAAGTATTATAAAAAATGTCATTAGCTCTTTGCCTCTGAAAGGGTGGAGTTATTTTATTTATTTATATTTCTTGCGCACTCTCCTAAAATCAAATATCTTGGCCTCACCCTAGATCAAAGATTAACGTGGGCTCAACACACCAAAACTAAAAGATTAGCATTGAATCATCGTCTTCGTATGCTCAAACCCTTATTAACCAATAATATATACACCTCTATTAAAACAAAATTTCTTATATATAAAACATTTTTAAAACCACTATGGACCTACGGCCTGCAACTCTGGGGCTATGCGAAAAAGTCAAACATAATGAAAATCCAAGCCTTTCAAAATATTGCACTTAGAAAACTAACGAATGCTCCACCCTACGTGTCAAATCATACACTACATTCCGACTTAAAATTAAAAACAATAAATGATGAAGCAAAAATCTTTTATAAAAGATTCCATAGCCGCCTAAATAATTATCCAAATCCATTAATAAAAAAATTGACCACCCCTACAATACCTGGTAATCCTCCGAGACGTCTGAAGCGTAATTGGTGTCGAGATCTCTTAAATTAAATTAATAGCAAGTTAACAGAAAGTGTTATCAATGGGTGGCTTCTTTCAACAAAACTTCATTATTTTATAACATTTATCACATATTCTTATTGTGTCTAGTATAATTGATACAGATTGTTTATTACGTGTAAAAATAAAAAAATATTTCCTGCTCGCACTATAAAATTAATATACTAAAGCCATGCTTTTTATTTTTACATTATTTACACATTTCTAACAAAGGGTTTCTTGCAAAACCGGTAAAAAATTAAAACAATATAATTTTTCGTTTGCTTGCAATTTACCAAAGCCCGATTTTAACTATTCTAGAGTCCGCTTTGTGTGGATGGAAAAGAGTATCGGAAGTGCGGTGTACGGTTAGCCAAAGGGACTAATGGAAACGATTGAAATCGCAATAACCGGACTGCGTAGTCGACTGCAAAAAGATCTGCCGGCAAGGGCAAACGACAATCAATTTTTATTCCGTCCCCTTACGGATGCCACGCAGTTAATTTCATTTCCGAATTGAAAACACACAGAATGAGTTTTGCTGCCGCGCAAAAAGGTATTACTATACCATTATGAGACCGATGGAAACATTGATTTGTCCAAGTGAAATCAAAAGCGTTGCAAACGACAGTCATATTATTATTATTAGTAGTATTCAGCTGATTCGTTTTTATTTCTAAAGAGTAATGGGCAAACGAGTCCAACGTGAACTAGACAAGAAATTATAGTGGTTTTGCAATGAGGGAGTTTTTTTTTTGTATACTAAATAGGTAAATATTTAGTCATTTTATCGTATTGTAAAGTGACATGAACAAAAATTGTTTCAATATAAAATAGGAACGATGAGTAGGTCATAGTTTTGTGCTTGGTCGGTTCGGATTAGTTCTTCTTATACTATTATTGGGTGTTTTCTTTATCAGAGTTAAATTAAACTATGCAGGGCAAGTCTTTTGTTTGTTACACTACTGACTTGGGGAGGTATTTTTGAAATGAATAGATTTACCGGCAACAGCAGCAGCTCCACTGCGGCCGTGATGCGTATACAGAATTAATAAACCATTTCGGATGGTGTTTTGCGCTTTGCACAGAAAAAAGGGCGCCCGTGATTAACGCACAATCAGTGGCAATCACCGACCATCAACCCCTCGCGTACAATTAGAGCGCCTAAAGCCAGTTTTACACACCCCCAACCCCTTAATTAGGATATATTACAAGTCCGCGCCCCAAGGCCAAATACGTGTCTATGGGGTGTTGTGTAAATCCAATCGACGGGGAGGTAAAATGTTTTTTTTCCCTCCAAAAGTACAATAACGCGTCTCGCCTGTCTCGGAATTAATTCCACGGTGGTATTAGCGGAAAGTCTTAGAAAAATCGACACAACAAGTCCATCAGATGGGGTTTATCCCATCGTCGGCGCAATCTTGATCAGAAGTTGGCCCGCATTTGAATATATATTATATATTTTTTTCTTAGGCGACGGCGCTTCGGACACATAGAGTGATCCATTTAATATCAGAGATAGCAGTACCAACTGCTCAACAATTTTTCTTTTGTGTGATCATACTGGCTTTAGTCTTTATGTTTACTTAACTCTAACAAACAAGCTATTACATGTTGTTCATCTCTTAACATTATTACTCTATGATTGTAATATACAGAGTGATCCATTTAACGCGAGACACTCATTTTCTCGGGAAACATATACAATTTTGTAGCCTACATTTTTTGTTTATCTTAAAAATGTTGAAATTTAAACGGTAATGTATTTATTCGTTTTTTTTTATTAGCTGTTGTTTGAAAAACATTACAGCTGAACCATTAGACTTATAGTTAACAAATAAAAAGGTTAAAAATAAATATTAGGAAACAGCTTGTACATGGTACTAAAATTATGGTTGGCAAAATACATATTGTTAGCTGATGTAGTAACTACTAAAAACAAGTATTAAAAAAACGGTAAAGAGACAGGGATTACAATAGTTACAATACTTTTAATAATAAATACAAATTTAGTCTAGTTTTTAGCGCCCAGGAAAAATTACAAAAAAAAAAAACACCTACAGTTTCTTTTGGTAACATTTTTTTTGGTGTGTTGTAACTTATCAAAATTATGCAATTTTTTTATTTTTGCAATGTTATGGAATAAATGGTATTTTAAACTTTGGCTAAAACAAATTTCTCAGCTACCTCATGATCTAAAAATCTCAGGTATATAACAGCTGATTAACATACCTTAATGCTCGGCTGAGTTTGTCATAGTTCATGTTGGGTTTGGATTTGCGTTCGCCCCATCGGCGAGCCACTTCGTCAGGGTCGGTTAGCTTAAACTCGCCGTTTGTACCTTCCCATGTAATGCACGCCGCGTTACTGCTGTCAGACAAAAGTTCTAACAGAAATTGCCACAATTGTATTTGACCGGAACCTGTAAAATATTGTACAATTTAACATAAACGTGTATAAACTACATGCAGTTGAGACGGATTTAAATTCCTCGACTGAAAACTGACCGACTTGGCTCAAATTAGGGTGTTTTTACTATCATAAAATCGATACACTTGCCAACTGCTAGTTACGACAGATCCAAATGAGTGAACGAGTAAATAAATTGAAATTATTAAATATAGGTATGATTAAGATTTTATGACGTTAACTTGAATGTATTTAGGCATTTATAACATATAAATTATTTTAAATAAATACAAATAATGTCCATAAAGTAAAAACAAAAAAGTAAACGTCTCATATAATTGAAAGCATGTTTGAACTTTTTAAATTTAGCTTAACATTTTCAAGCTAAAATTAACATAACTCTGTACAGTAATTGCAGTATAAAAATCAATATCATTATTAACTACACTTGGAAACGCGTGCCCGTCTGTCAGATAAGATATAATATAAGGGCATCATAGACCGTGACGAATGGGCGTCTGCATAAGTGTGTGTGGCACAAGTTTAGATAGGCTACACGCGAGTTCAACATAATTTAAACCAAAGCCAGTAAAAAGTGTCAAGTATTACGTGGGAATATTTTTTATTATATGGACACCCTTTGACCCCTAACGATTGTAAAAAATTAATCACAACAATGTAACTTTATTATATTAACCGTTTTTTTCTCTCATTTTAATCGTGTGACTTGTACATTACACTAATGACCGTTAACACAGACGACTATACTTAAGTATAGTTTAACCTATTGTTTCAGTATTGTTTAACTACAATAGTACATTTTAAGAATTTTTATTACTGTTAACGGCCATTAGTGGAGTAAAATTGTTCTATTTGTTATTATATACAACCGCGTTGTGGGTAATTAACCCCTTAATTTATTGATAATATAATATAGCTTAAACGTTAACTTTAAACTTACCAGAACTGGCTAATCGGCTGCTAGTTGCGCCAAACATTTGATAGGGATCTGAAATATTCAATTCATAGTTTTTATTAATATTGCACGTTTATAATATTATAAACGGACTATACAATCAGTAATAAGGTTGAATTAATTTATAAATAAAAAAAAAATATAGAATGAAAATTTGATTTATAATATTATGTGATGACAATAAACGGTCATTAATAACTCTAAAAAAAAATCATCACCGTAATAAAATTCCTATTATTTCACACTTATTACATGCTGGTAGTAAGTACACAATAAGGGAGTGAACATGCCCCGGAGTTACTTAAAAAGGGGTTAACGTACATATTGTAACGTGCAGTTTGTGTACAGAAACGGAGCAAAAAAAGCCAAAAATGCAATAATACTTCTAACTAGATTTATTGTAAAATAATAATTTATGCTTTTTAACTTATATGTAATCAGTATAATGACTTATTTGAGTATTTAAACAGAAAGCAAAGAATTTGTCATGGTTTTTTTTGAAAGTAAAAAAAAAAATATAAAACTCAAAAGTAATAAATAATAAATGATTATTGTTACAAATTGACAAATTTAAATTTAGTCATCTATGTTCTGAAGAACACTTGTTGTTAGTTTTGGTATTGTTTATTACAATATAATGAAAAAATAATTAATTAATTTCATTTGAGCCGAACTAATTAAAACACTACAGTAGCTGTACAAAAAACTATTGAACATTTTTTTGGGGGGTTCAGATTAATAAGTTTGTCACGGAGGGAATTGTATACTGTATATAAAAAAAGGGTCAGCGAGTAAATAACTGTGACTGTTATTCTTTCAGGTTGACTTGATAAGCGGCGTTTAGGTTGCATTTTAAACGTGATACTACTCAGCGGGGTCTGACATCTGAGTGCTTCCAAAAACGCTTTAGCGGTTCCATTATCGGCACGTGGACTCGCCTCACGGTCGCTTGGGTTGATTGACAGCTTATATATATAATGAAGGGATTGTGAGGGGGATAAGGTGTTGACGAGGGCAGAGCATCGTTCTTCTTAGTAAGTTAGTCGGTTCATAACTTGTATGTCAAGTGCCAGCACTTTAAAACCGCACTTCCCTGAGTTCATTATGTACAGACATTATATTTTTGGTTGAACTTCGATTTTTTTTTTGACGAATTTTGCAAAATATCAACTATTGTTTTATTATTTCAGACCGTTATAAGTAATTAATAATAGAAAATTACTTTTACTATTCGTTTGCTATGATTTTGTAAAGTTATTACATTTTCTCATATATATTTTCTTAGGTTGTCCAAAAAAAGAAGCCGTCATTGTGTTGAATAGGTAGTTAAAACCGCTTATCTATCATTATCTCAACAAAATAGTTAGACACAAAATTAAAATTCTAGGTTAGGTGATGATAACATGATGATTAATCCGTCATATATTTGATAAGTAATGGACAAAACATTAATCAATATTCACAAAATAGCAGCTTCCTACTATTTTCATAAGCAGCCGACTATAGGCAATAGGCGTTCCATATATTATTGAGCTCAGTGGTGTCTGGTTATCGCCTATCTGACAATGGAAGCATAAATATATGAATTTTATGGGCTTGATTTTCAAAGTATTGAAAAATATATATACCTTGAAGTGTAGGAAAAAGGTAATTTTTAAAATATTCATAAGAAAACTAATGTCTTCCATCAGTAACCCTGTATAGAGTAGTTTATTACAATATATAAGGTATCATTTTTAAGTATATGTATATATATATATATATTTTTTTTTATATATATACAGTGGTTGTAAACGTGCCGTGGTATTTTTTATAGACTCTGTCGATTTGGAAATCAGTGCGAAAATCTGACAAAGCGTGGAATACTGTCGTTCTAATAGAGACGGCAGTATCATAACATAACAACAATAATATGATGTGGGAGGGCGACACGGTCGGTTGGGCATCATCGGCGTAATCCCACGGGATGGATTGCAGTTACTGCAAGTTAAACGCCGCCTGTTGTGTGTGTGTGTGTGTGTGTGTGTGTGCGGTCTCTTGTTCACGGTCACTTGTTGGGGCGATGCCGTCAGCGGGCTAGCCAAATCCGCCCACCTAATATTAACGACGAAAAGCTGTTCGTTTTGGCGACGGCACACGCGTGCACCGTTCCATTACAGCACGGTCGGGGGAGTTCAATTTTAATTATTATTGTCATAACCCGTCACCGTGCCCGTTTGGCCAAGACAACGGACAGCACACAAAATAAGATATAGCCCATGATAATTAGAATAACCATTCGATCGCAATAAGTAAAATATTATAAAGTAGGTAAGCGAAAAGGCCAGCTGCGTCGTGACCAGAATGACAAAATTACATTTTACTGGTACATATTTTTTTAATAATTTGTTTTACTATTGCAACCGTGTAATACGAAATATAATATCACATTTTTTTTTAACTACTAAACGTATTTTTTGTTGGCTCTTTTAAAAGTGCAACTTTGTTACTCAGAATTATTATTTAAAAACACGATTTTTACCGAAAAAAAAAACAACAAAATATACGATGAACGGGTCTTTCAAGTAAATATTTGATTCATGGGTTGATTGAATTTTCTGTGCGTTTGTGTGTGATTGAGATTGCTTATATGATTTCCCCTTGCTCGGTGTTTACAGTCGAACGCTTTTGCAAAGGTGACGACAACGGCGGCAATGATGGGCGCCACGGGGCATTTGGTTTTTGATCTCGTCAGCCCGACGGATCCGCCTTTGATGTGCGTCTAATCAAAGCTCATTGGACCGCATAGCGCTTGCGGCCTTTGCCGGTGGTCGAATAACAAGAGATTATAATGGAATTACACCGGTTGTCATCCAGTTGTTTTTTCGACCAAAACCACCCTTCGAGGGGTTAAACGTCGACGTCATAAAACCGCACACCAAATACTTTATTTGGAGTTTTGATATTTTTTATTTTTTATGTACAACACACGAAAATCAAGCAACAATAACACAACCTACACAGATGCGATAAAGACATTTGTATGTAGCATCTAAAATTTCAAATCTTTGGTAAGACACTAGTTTTTTTGAAAAAATTACAATTTTTAGTTTATGTTATTAGTTATTTAAGATATCAGTGTGGAAAATTAATTAGTATAAATTGTTGTGCAGATATTTTACAATATTATTGTACAAATTCCTTATTAATCATATGATTTAAATGACAATTGACACTATTATGGCAGATTAGGTAGTTTTTTTTTTATCTAATCTGTGATATTATTAATGAAATAGAATGCTCGAGTCTGCGTTCACACCGATTTCATTTTGAGTCACGGTTTTTGTTTACATGCCAAGTGAGCTATCCGTTTTCTTTTCATTTTATTCTGTGCTAAAACTGTTGACTGGTTCAATAATAAAGTTTAAAATTCAGAAAGGAAGAAAGGCTGGAGTGAGGTTTTATTTTTATCTGAGCGAATACTCAACCGCACTGGTGTAGTTCTTATAAAATTTACATTTTCTTTTGTACCACCGCTTGATCGTTAAGATGTGAGTATATTTTTTATGTTTTGCATGCAACAATAATATTTATATAGGTACGTGTAATGCATTTATGTGTGTTATTCGATTGTCCGACGGTCCAGACGTCGTTAACCTTTTTTTTCGGTAGTGTCCAAGCGTGATGAAGCGCATTTGTGTTGTGCAAGACCTTTTCACCCCTGAAACCGTCTTGATTGTGCACAGGAAAACGGTCGGCCATCAAAAGGGCTCCCTATGTGATTTTGACGAATCGCCGGACAACGTGACGAACGTTTATTTACTTAGGATTTTTATCGTTTTCCGTTTATTTTTTTATCATAAAAAATACTCGGTGTGTTAGTTTGCCAACGAATGAATAATCAATATGAACCCATTCTACAAGGGGTGAGGAGGGTTATAAGGATTCAGAATTCTAAAGTTTCTCCTACTTAACTACTCTTGCATTTAAAAACTATTGTAATGCAAAAATGCCCACTGCACCTAATTGCTGCATTTTGACTTTCATTAAAAAAAATAATAAAACATGTTTAAGTAACTCGGTGTCTATGATATTGTTAGTATTTCTTATTTAAAAAGTTCAACCTTGTAGATGTACGTTGTTAAATCATATTGAAAGTCAATAATAATCCAACTATTAATAAATAATAAATAATAGAGTTGTTGGTAAACTATTTCTAAAGAAAGTCATGCAAACATATAACTTTGTGCACGTACCTTGTGTTTGTCCAGTGGAATGTGTGTTCCATGATCCTTTATAATGTGTATCTGAAAAATAATAACATACTTGTTAATTGAGCGAATCATGAGTATTACACAAAATTAAGATAGATATTTTATTTATACTTTTATAAACGAATTTTCGCTAAACCTGTACAATTTTTTAATTAATGCTGTCGAATAGGATTTTTAAGTATTCTATAATTAAATAGTAAGTATTTAATAAATATACTTAACCTATATTAAGTATATAAATGCACTTCGCCTATCTCTCATCCTTATTCGAATTCCATAATTGGTCAATAGTTGACTTATATGCATTGAGTAGCTGTTATAAAGCGATAATAGTAAAAAATCTTCATATTTAATGTAAAACAAATGTAATAAAGAACAAAAAGGAAAGCCTTATTTCCAACCCGTTAGAGATGACAAAAAATCTAAATTATTTATGTGATAAATCTCTAGTATATAATAACCATATCCTGTCATCTGCTTTATTTTTTTTAAAATATTTAATGTATACTAGATAAACGTCGCTTATTAACGTCATCAAATTGGTTAGCTCTATTTACCACTTATATTTAATGGCTGTAAAAAATTAATATTTCATTGACGGAATGCCTCCATGAGACCGGCCCATGGCGCTGGATTATTTTAAAAATTTAATAATTCAACAAGTGGGTAACTCATTGTCTGAATAAATAATACAAAAAATACATATTCCCAATAAATACAAATTTACAAATAATTTTGTACTATTTCATAAAAAAATGTTTCCTTGCTTAGAATTTTAATATTTGTCTGCATATCTAGTGAAATTGAATTTCCAAGATACTTTTTTATAAGTTTAAAGGAAAAAAAAAACATTCAGCAAAACTAGCCTAGTTACAAACCGAAATCCGAATCATTAGCTATGATATTTTTATATTGAAGCCGTTGTATAAACATTGTAATACGATATACATATTATATATTTACAAATTATTTTTAGATCAAAGTTTATTGGAAAAGGTAAGATTTTAAAAATTAACTAGTAATTTAACCGGACATCAAATACCCAAATTCACCAACCTATTCCGGTCATGAATATTACACACAACGTTTAAACACCATTCAATTTTGAAGCCCAGTTATGTTACAGTAAGTTAATTGATATAAATATTAAATTGATCTAGGAGTCATTTTAAACATGCCAAATAATTTAAATGGTAAATTATATTAAGTTTTACTATTTACAGAAGTCACTTTCCGGCATTTCCATTAGACGTTGGTCGTTTAATTAATGTATATCATGTAATTTTAAAGTAGACTAATACACCACGCTGTCATTTATTGTGAGTTGATATATTTTTATCTAATCGAATGGAACGGGAAGGTACGCAGTAACCTCCTAATACATGTGTATATTTCAACGGTTATTTCGAATATTATTGAATAAATTATTATTATGTAAAACAAAGCAACATATCATAATTGTACGGCACGTACCGGCAAAAATCATTGATAAGTTTGTGAATGTTCCATTTCGACTTAAGTAGTCCGAAGTTTTGATGTCCAACATGGTTGGGATTGCTTGGGCAGCAGCTGTAGTTGGGGCTCTGTTCACCCGGTCGGCTTGAAACCGATTTTTGACATTTCCTCGCGACAATAATACAGGCCGGTGTTGTCAATAATTTTAAACTGTTATAATTACTGTTGTGTGTGAGTGAATAACCCAGTGTACAAGGTACAGGACGCGGGGCAAGCGGACCACGGTATTGTATGATCAGGCGGCGGACACGGTTGCACGACACTGATGACCCTATGTGTGTGTCGCGGTGCCGTGACCGCACGCGGGCGCCTGTCAAGAGGGGCGCGGCGTAGGGAAAATCGATGCCGACCAATCGGGCTCGGGCGCCCAAGACAAATCACTCCCCTCGAGTACTTCCGGATTGGTCGGATAGGATATTGTCTATACCCGGCCACGATGTGCGTGGGAGGGGAGGGAAAGGCTCGCGGTTAAGGGGAGGGGAGAAGCATACGTGTCGTGTTTGCCAGTCCGTACATTTCACTGCCCCCCCTCCACTCTCCTGTCCGAACAGCGCCGGCTAATAACCAAGTACGTTCAGGCATTCTTTCCTTCCTTCCTTCCTTCCTTCCTTCCGTCCTTCCGTCCTTCCGCCCTCTCCTTCCGACGTTTATACCTATCGTCTTTTCCATTAAGGTATACGCCGTCTCTACTAGTCTCTTGTACAATATATATTTGTAGTATACACATTACACACACACACACACACACACACACACACACATTAATTACTACCGCATTTTGACCGTCGGTTATATTATTATTGTTATTTAAACGGCTTTTGAAAATATCCAACAACAGTATGTGTTTTACTATGATTTTTACAGTTTTTCAAATTAAACGTACTAAAATATTTGTAATAATTATTATCGCTAAGTCGACTAAAAACTATTTTACTGCACAAAAAAGTTTATTTGTATTTAAGTTATGCAAACGCAAATGAACCCAACAAAATCTGTTGTACAATGTGATCCGTTTAACGCAACACACTTGTTTTCTTTTAAAATAATTTCAAAAAATATATTAATTATTTACTTTTTTCTATTTTCCAGAAAGATTTCTTCTTTTTAAATTAAATTATGACATCTATTAAACAATTTCGATCGGTCGATTATCTTATAATGTAAAATAACGTAATTAAAAATTAAAATGATGTATTTATTTTTAAAGAAAATGGGTATCTTACGTTAAATTCTTTGAAACTCAATCTTAATAAACTTTTATACATGATAATTCTTGCATACACAATGTTCACTATTGGATATTATTTTAAAAATAACTATTTAATTTTAAGATAAAGTGTGAATTTATTTATAATCCATAAAAAGTAAAACGTAATTAATTAATATTTGGTATAAAATAAAATCTCGTACTTGGACATCATTTGCATAATTACATGTGTAAAAAGCCTTTAGTAGTTAGTGTCGCTTAATTGCAATGGGGGATTGAAATATGAATGAATACATCCCATGCGGTTCTAGAAGTAGATCAAGGGAGTTTAGCCCTTCTTTTTGATTAAATTCATTATAAAACCGCCATAAGTTTTAATTTTATATCTTTGAATAAACTGTGTTAAAAATAATTGTATTTTAAATGTTTTTTGTTATTTATTACATCTGAAAAGTTCATCAGTTCCTCAAATAGTTTATTGTTTCTAAATTGCTTTTGAATAGTCAGAATAGTAAAAATAAATTGTAAGTGGTTGAAGTACAAACGTTATAGCTAATTTAACCTTGAAAAGTATATATTTTTTTAAATTATGGCTCGTTGGATATTTTAAAAAAGAAGATTTACTTAACGCACAAGTCGGTAAATGCGTCTACAGAAAATATGTCTGCACAATGGAATAAAATATTGTGTCGCATTAAACAAAACTACTGATGCAAAAATTATAACGTTCACTGAGCAATTCATATAGTCGTGTAAAGCAATTGGCACTAGCAAAAAAAGTGGGGGAGAAAAAGTGTACACTGGAGTATAACAGAGAGAGAGAAAGAGAAATGAAGATAATGGTGCCTTTTATTTTCGTGTATTGGGGTTCGTAATTTCATTCCAAGCCATTTGAGCTCTTAAGCAGCACTATGTTTCTTCCGACGACCAATACCCAACAGACATCACGGCGCTAATTTTATATTCTACATTGTGTCTTTTTACTTGGAATAAAAATCATCCTTAAAAGCTTCCGATCACAAAAGGAAAGGTAATTTCTTACTTTCATAAGGTTGAAATGTTTGTGAAAGCTTTGACACAAAATATAGTCTATAGAAATCATTCAATGTGGACCAAGTCCTAAGACCGTACACTGTAATTGTGGAAAGGAATACAACATTATGTTTGATGAGCTGAGTTAAACTGATTTATAGAAAACAATATTAACAGCGCATTGGTTTTATAACGACAACTTGTAGTTGTAATATTTTATCTATGTATTTACATAATATATATTGTTCTTATACTATTAAAAATGTTCAAAAGTTAAACAATATGAATTCGTGACGGTCCGTTACTTAAATTATCATAAGTGAGAATATATTTTATATAATACAGAGTAGGGCAGAGTAAAGAGCGATTTTAAAAAGGCTGTAAAAGAAAAAATGCCATCGATTTTTCCAAATTATATTTTCATCTTAAAGTACACGAAAAAGCATTCAAGAAAATTTACCAACTGGTACTTATAGTAATAATTGAAAAGAGTTGTTTTTTATTGATTTTTTTGGTCTTTTGTGATACTTTGATTTCCACGGTGGTTAGAATTTTAATTCAATTCCTTTGTATGCAAAAAGCCGTACCGATAAACCATTAAATAATGTACTACAGACCATAACAATAGGAGTGGACTATATAGCGGTATTAACTGATGACAACATGATGATAATATCATCTACACCATAGTCTGTGTTGCCCGGATTAGCATGCACCCTTACCGCGAAGGGTTGTTTAATAATATTATCGCAGCCAGCTTGTGTGTAATCTGTTAAACATTTTCGTTAAGCTACTCTATACTTTGATATCAGTTCACACCCTTTACAGTATACACAAACACGTCGTTAGGGTGCTTACATGATAAGTATGTATATACTTGAAAAATAATTTGGTAGAAGACGTATCATTTAAATTATCTTATGAGAAATTCACATTAGGCGTAGATATAATTCCGTTTAAGTGTCAAAATCCTCTATAAGAAAAAATAAAATATTTACCAAATAAGAATAATATAAAACAGTTCTAAAACTGTGAGCCTATGAATCGCTCTGGAATAGCTTTGGCTAATAAAATTGTTATATATTATGAAAAATATTAAAAACCGTAGCTAACCATTGCCTTTTGTCAAATGTTCTCTTCTGTGTTTATTTGAAAGTATTCTTAAAATATACAATTAATGTATACATATTCCCCATCGTTGCCACTACTATACTTTATTCCATCGGTCTCTATCATATACTTCCTTTATTCGCACATCTTCCGGATCTTCTCTAAATCT